CAGGGCCCGAACCCGGGCCCCACGGAGCCCGCGGGCGCCTGCAGCCCAGCCTCGGAGTCCCCGCAACCCCGGCCCTCGTGGAGCCTGGGGCATCGACGATCCGCTCCTCCAAGTGGGTTTCTTCCCAGGACCCTCCACCCTAGGCCTCGCTGCACCCAAGACCTGTCTTCAGCCTGGTCGCCGGAAGCCCCCAGCCCCTCCAGCCTAGCTAGAGTGGCCTCTTCTGGGGACACCCTCTCACCTAGCCCTTCTAGCCTTTACCGAACCCCGAGACAATCCCTTAGCTCTTCCCACTGCCCAGCTGACCTAACGCCAGCTCAGCCAGGCCTCTTAGACTGACCCCAATCTCCTAGCAATTCTCAGCCGCCCCTTTTGCTGGGCAAGTGATTTGCCCACACAGCCTCAGGGAAGCACAGAGAGCCAGGCGTTTAAGCAGGACTCCAGCCCCTGCAGTACTTGGGGAAAGGTACTGCAGAGGACGGAATGGAGCTGGAGGAGGAGGAGGGTCCAGAGCTGGACCCACAGCTGGAGTAGCTGGAAGGAAAGGCAGGTGCAGACTTTGTCCCCTTAGCCAGAAACGCCCTACACAGCCCCAGCCAGCCGCCCCAGGCTGAGGGGTGTACTGCTTGAAAGGATACTGGCCAGGAAACTCGCACATTCAGAGCGGAGACCGTGCAAGAGTGATCAGCATCAATTTGCTAATGCATTAAGCCTCATTTTCACACATTCTAGGATTTTCCAAAATAGCTTGATCCTTAAGAAAAGGGTGCCAAGCAGAACTGGCTGTCGAGGGAAACATCCTGTGGGGCCATCACCCAAATGTGTGCATTCCAAGCATCTGTATCACTCAGACAGGCCGCTGGTTCAGATGGTTTCACAGCAAGTTCTACAAGTTCTGTCACACCACTGGGGGACAGACCATGTCCTGTGTCATTTAAACTGTTTTACAGGGGAAAAAGAAAATTCATTTCCCAGGTTTAGCATAACTCTGATACCAAGATCCACCAAAGATAACACCAAAAAGGAGAACTCCAGGTAAATATAGAACAGGAGTCCACTTTTTTGAAAGACTTCGGCAATGTGATAACTTGCAGAAGTGCTGTTTATTGTCCACCTTTTAGAGAATCACAACGTTAGTATATTGAGGTCTCTGTGAAGCCTAGAAATAAAGAGACCTGTCTGCTTTGTTTAACCTGGCATTTCCCAAACTCAGTTGCCAAGCTCACTGATCGCCTTCCAATATGTGAATCACTACCACAGATCAAGGCACTTAAGTGTATAGTAGCTGCAAAACTACTAAATAAGATTTTAGCCATTTGAGTCTAGTTTGCTGTAAACCCACCTCGATCAGTGCATATTTATTCCAGGAGTGCAACGATAAAATTTAACATTGGGGAATCTGTAAACTCACTGTATTGTTAAAGGAAAATAAATCATAGGATGCTTTAAAAGCATTTGATAAATGTCAGTACCAATTTCTGCCATTAGTTTTGTCATTGGTGTTGACATAGTAGGGAAAAAAATTAAACTTAACAGTTTATCAGAAGACCTTAGCTAACACATTTAATGGTGAAACATTAAAAGATACCCTCATTTAAGTCAGAAACAAAGCAAGGATGCCTGCTAAAATTGTCACAAACTAAAGCCAATGGAATAAGTTAAGAAAAATAAACAAGAAATATAAATGTGGGAAGAAAGAACATTTTCATGCTTTGCTCATGATAGTGTTTTGCTAAGAATAAAAATCAAGACAATCAGCTAAAAATATCACAGACTTTGGTAAGGTAGCCAATTATAAAATAAATCAATAGCTTTCCCAGTTGTTAGGGAGAAGCTTTCTTCCCTGTATAGAGGGACAAGGATTTGAAATAGAGTCCTGGCCTCTCTCCGCCCTAAGGGAGAGTGAGTAAATTTTGAAGAAGTGGTTAGTAAGTTTAGGAGCAGAATTAGACAAGAACAGATGCTTCTGAATTCTGTTTTTGGATTTTGGCTAACTGCAGAAAGCAAATATTTTTTTCACGTGCTTTCACTCTTCAATAAGTTTGTGGGACAGAGAGACTGTTGGTCCAAAATGTCTGTAACTACGAGAAAAAATCTATCTAATTGAAGGGGAAATGTAGGAAGCCCACTTAGCTACAGATCAAAAGTTACACTTTCTAATCATCTTTATCAATAATAAAGGTAGTATTTCTATGTCCTGTGTTCATCTATCATTTGTATCTAGATCTCCCTATTACCAAAGCCTCACACGGTCATAGGTGGGGCTTTTGAGAGGTGGCTGGATCTAGGGTTTGTGCTGCTGGGATAAAGGATATGATGCTGGGATTAATTCATGGTACAATGCTAGGCTTAAGGCTGCCCCGCCCTGTAAGAGTGGGTAGCCTGAATAAGATATAAGAGACAGAAAGAGGGTTGCTGCTTGTCCCTTACTGCTTACTACCTTGGTACCTTCTGCCTGCCATGAACTGTTTCTCCTCCACCATGCCTCTCTGCCATGCCGCCCTGCTTTGGAACATACCACCCTGCTTTGGAGCCAGCCAACTATGAGCTGAAACCTCTACAAACTGTGGGTCAAATAAATCTTTCTTCCCTTAACTTTGGGTGCCCAGTATTTTGTCTTAGCAAGAAAAGTAAGACACTTGGTTTGTTCTAAACTCAAAAGGAGGAAGGAGAGGTGCTAGTTCTAGGGTCACCCGCATATAACACAAATAACAGTGATTTCCATTTAGAAAATATGATGAAAAAGTTATATGTGAATTACAAATAAATATTATACAGCATATTCTAAACAAAAATCCATAGGGGGAAAGGTCTATAGGAGAAAAACCATAATATCTTACTGAAGGACATTAAAAAAAACAAACCCTTTTAAGTAGAAAGAGATAACAGATCCCTGGACAGGAAGCATCAACATAGCAAAACTACCTTCCCAACTTGATTTATAAATCTATATCAAAGAACCAGTATGATTCATGGAGTAGAATGGGCTAAAACATGACAAAATTATTTTAAAATTTCTCTTGATAAACATACATAAGGAAATAGCTAAAAAACTTTGAAATGAAAAAAATGAGGGAATATTGCTCTACCAGATATTAAAATGTAAAGTAAAACTTCAGTAAATAAACCTATGGGCCACTAGTGTAGAAACATACACTTTTATCAGATATTAAATCCTATTTATAAATGCTTCTTTTGTATCCATTGCTCTATTTCCATATTCCAATACCAACAGGATGTACAAATTTGAATATTCCCACATACCCTACTCCAATCCAAATTACCTGGCTTAGTCCACTCCAATAACTTCCTTACTAGTCTCCTAGCTTTGCCCCCATCCAAACAATGGGAAAGAGCAACCAGAGTGATCATTAAAAAATAATAATAATAAAATGAAACAGGTCACTCTCTTGCTTAATGCCCTCTGATGACTTTCTGTGAAATGAAATAAAATAAAATTCAAATGCTCTAGCATGCCCTACAAGGGCTCATGCTATGTGGAACTAGCCTGCTCCTTCATACTGTTTGCTTCTCTAACCACATTGGCTTCTTTTCAGATCTTTAAATATCAAATATTTCTTCCCTGGGTAATTTGCCAATAGCACTTCTCTGTCATTACAGGGCCCGGGCTCTTAACATTCTTAAACTCTCAGCTTAAATGTCATTCCTTGGAGAACTTCGCTGGTCATCTCTCTAAATAGGTCCCTGTCTCCATACTGCATTAGATCTTTTCCTGCTTATCTCTCATCACAATTTGCAACTGCACTAGTCACTCTCCTGTTTCTGGGACAATATATCTGATATCTGCAACTTAAAGGAGTAGAGGTTTATTTTGGTTCACAGTTTTAGAAGGTTCAGCCCATGGTATTCTGGCTTCAACATAGAAACTTCATAGCAGAAGGACTTAATGGTAGAAAGCTGCTCACTGAATGGTAGCTAGGAAGCTTGAGTGATAGAGAGCCTGGGACAAGAATACACCCTTCCAGATTTTGCACCCAGTGTTCCCCCATTTTCTGACTAGGCCCCACCTCCAAACACATGAGGTTTTAGAGAGATATTTCAGATCTAAACTATAACCGTGACTATCCACAATTTATTTTCCCATTCAACTATAAGTCTTCCCACCAGAACAAAAGCTCCACCCCAGGAAGGGGACATAGCTGTTTGGTTCAC